CGCTGCAGATGTGGCCAGCGCTTGACAAAAAGAAGCGAGTTGCAGCGAAACATGCACCGTTAATCGTTAATCCGGGTTACTCAAAGAAATACTTGACCACTGCGCATCACGATTTACCCTTCGAGAAATTAATCGTAGTGCATTAAGGCGTTTTAACTGTATCGACTCGTTTTTGCTGTAAGATTGACTCGTCTGGACACTGTGACTTCATAATCGAGATGGGCATCCGGCCGTTATTATCAGGCGTGACGCGCAGCGAATCCCGCGACCAGTGCACCTATGAAGGTCTCTGAAATGGGGTCCAGCGTCGCGTCATTCATGGCTACCATTTGGTGTGAGTCATCCCGAATAGCTGAGGCCGAACAAAATGCTTAACGGAACTCGAGCGATCCCAGCGCTCCCAAACAGACAGGCTTTCACGATGACAGCCAGCGAATACCGAGCACCCACAGCCTGCAGGTATGCACGTAGCCTTCAGCAATAACAACAAGCAAGGTTCTAGTAAGAAACAAGGGGTAACCTGTCGTACAGATGACTGCAAACGTACCTTGTAAACTGTGCCGAGAAGCTAGAAGAAACCGGAACGAGCTCGAAAACGGTACCCTTGGCGCTAGATTCGTTGCTGTTTTCCCACTTCGCGAGCGCTTGTCGTAGTGTTCTTCGATGTTGTGCGTCCAGCTGTGGCGATTGACGGCCCACCCCAACATTCTCGATGACAACACCAGTATCTTCAGGTTCCTGACAGGTCTGGAGCTCCATCCCGATGACGAAGAAACGAGGATTCCACACCCGATACAAAAGTGAAGCCAGAGGCAGCGAGTTCAGCACCACGACCGGCAGCCATAACAACAACGATATTAGTACGATGCTGCCACGTACCCCGGCGAAGAACACGAAGAAGACCAGATTGGTAGTCACGAGGAAAGACAAAATCGTAAACAGTAGCGTACCCAGCAGGAGCTGCCTGACGTCATACTCGCACGTGTCCACGCGGTGACGAAGCACATTGATCTTCTTGCCCAAGAAAAGCTTCGACAGCGAGGAGAACAGTCCGAACTGCAGGCGGTTTAGCTTGGCAAAGTAGAGATAAACCCAATGCGAGTGCCACGTTGTAAGCTTCATGAAGTCTGCTACCAGCGTCAACTGCAGCGTCACGCCCATATATCTGCCCAGTACAAGGAGCCACCAGCCCAGACTGATGTTATTTGGTATAACCGAGAGCTCCTCAAACACAAAGCTCCAAAGATTCAGCCACAAGAGGATGCCGTTGCCCAGGATTGAAGCCAGTGGCTTGTTCAGCTTGAAACCCGCAGGCGCACCCATCAACCACTCCACGTTACCACGCAAAAACTCCACAACTGCAGTAGGAGAGCTAGTCAACAGGAACAGGAAATCACAGCGTTACCGACGAATCCCGTAACGGGGATAGTGCTTAAGAGTGCGTACATGTTCGTGGCTTGAAAGTCTGATGCAGTAAACCCGTTCACATAACTTAGTACTAACCGTCCAAGTGTTATGTCCAGTAGGACGAAGCATATCCAGTTCAAGATCTGCAGTAGCTCCAATTCTGTAAAAGATGCGCTGTTAGTCGGGTAGCCACTGGAAGCAGCCACGGAAGCTTACTCTCTTGATGCGATAGTCTCCTCTGCTTGTTCAAAAGGTAAAAGTTCCTCAACCTCTCAGGTAAACTCGCTGCATTGTGTAGTTGCTGGGATAGCACCGCTAGGAATGTCGACAGCTCCTGCAAGTAAAGAGATCATCCACTTTCAATTAGGTCTTCAGTCACCCTAAATCTTAACTTCTCTTACCGCTAAGCTCTTCCCGCCACCAAGTAAAAGCCACGAAGGAGTCTTCATGTTCTGTATAAAGTGTTGGAATGCGGTTGCAACTGCCAGCAGCACCACGGAGGGCGCGAAGAGCGTGTAGTACCCCACGGCCTCCACGAGTCCAGTGACCCCCGCTCCAGAAGCTGCGGCTGCTTTCGTTCCATCTTTGTAGCGACGCGCAAGGTGCTCGCCAATCTCCCGTAGAAGCTGCGGTGAGTGGAGCGTCTCAAAGTCCCCGAGCGCCGCCACGTCGGCGTCGAACAATACGACGCGACGAGTTTTTGAGCTCTTCGAAGGTAAATGCTCAAGCCCCGCGGAAGGTTTCGAGTCCAGCGACACAACGCACAAAGCGCTGGAAGATAGGCGACGACATAGAGCTCTAGATGAGGATGCAGTAGCAGCAGTGTCGGTAGCAGGAGCCCACAGGTGCCGTGGCCAATACACCACCTCGGACTCCATCATTTGGTCCGAAAATGCGTATCCTATGTATCTATCGTGCAAATGGGACTATAACCTATTATTACTCATTAAGTATCATGATAACCAAATCGACACAATATTTATCGTCCCAAGTGCGATCCAGATGGAGGACGAGCTGATCGCCCAGCGCGATGCGGCCATCGCCGTGACCAAGGAGCTGCAGCGACAGCTACAAACGCACCGTGAGGAGGTGGAGAGGACCTTCGAGCGACGCACGCTAAACGCGGAGAGGCTGCGGCTGCACGCGGAGGAGAAGCTACGGCGGGCAGTGGAAGACCGCGACTGGAGCGAGAGCTGCTGCCGGCGCTTGTTGGCGCTTGCTTTGTTCCTGAGCTGCGGTGGTGCCGTTGTGGGATGGGCTTTGGGGCTACTGGTATTGGTAGCGGTGGGTGAGCCGCTCGTGGGCTTCCTGTTAGTGCTGCCCGGCATGGCGCTGGGTACTTTGACAGGGCTAGCAATAGCCAAGACTAAGATTCAACTGGAAACAAGACGTCGAGATGCCAGGAACAGAGAAGCCAAACGCCATTCAGAGGTGGAAATGGCCGTCAACAGCGGAATAGGAGAAGAGGACGCACCACTGGAGCCACTGGAGGGCGTCCCGGGCATGGAGGACGTCGCGGAGAAGAATGCTCGGCAGGCGGAATTGGACAGGGCAAAGGAAGCAGCGGAGGACAAGCAGGCGGTAGCGGGGTCCAGATCGCTGTTGGGCATGGGCTGGAACGCGGCGTGGTTCACATTACAGACATCCAAGGACATTGCAGTGGGGTTGTACCACGGAGGAGATTATGTGCGAAGCATCTTGTATCCGCCAGAAGACAAACAGAAGAAGGACAAGTAGCGAGTGGAGGAATCCACAGTGGATGGGTGTGCGATGATAAAACTTTTATTATAAAAGGACGCTGCGTGTTGGATGCAGCAAATCTAACTTCGTGCGAGGAGGCCGAA